GGGGGGGGACGGGACCTGGGGGGGGCTGGCTGCTGGGGGCGGGGGGGACGGGACCTGGGGGGGGGCTGGCTGCTGGGGGCGGGGGGGACGGGACCTGGGGGGGGCTGGCTGCTGGGGGCGGGGTGGGCACTGGCAGCCGCCCCCTCGCCCCGCAGGTGCAGAGCATCCTGGAGCAGAGCTCCCCCTGGCTGGAGTGCAGGGCTGTGTCCCTGCCGCAGGAGCTCCTGGGGAGCAGCTGGGACCCGGCGGCGCCTGCGTGGCTCCTGCTGGAGGAGTGCCATTTGGAGCTGCAGGGGGACGTCCCCCAGGTGTCCTGGAGGCCTGAAGCCCAGGGCCGCACGTGTGCCCTCTACTCCTGCCTGGCGCTGCTGGTGCACCTGGGCCAGGACAGCGCTTAGGGCTGAGCCTCGCTCTCCCAGCCCGCACACCCGGGCAGCTCCCCAGGCAGGGCAGGCCTCACAGCACCTGGCTGCCAGCCCCGAGAGGGCGAGGGGCCAGGCCATGTGGCTGGTTCACCTTGACCAGGAGTCAAGGAAAGTCAATAAAAGTGATGTGTAAAGGAAAGATGGGGTCACTGAGTTTTTGAGGGGCCCCAGATCTGGGTAGGGAGCAGGGTGGGGCTGTGCCCATGCAGGACGGGGAGCGATGCGGGGCTGAGCACAGGTGTCTGCCCCAGGTCTGCTCCTGGGGCACCAGGGGGCTCCGCGGAGCCTGGCCTGTGTCTGAGCCTGGCCACTCCGGGGGAGCAGCCACGTGGCCGGCCCCCGGCCCCTCCCCACAGTGCGGGCAGAGCAGTGTTACCAGGAGGCTCTGCATCTGCCTCAGGGACCTTGAGGACACGCTGCCAGTAGGTAGTGGGGCCTGCAGGGGGGTGGGGGGGCAGGTGTGGCGGACAAGCAGTCCGCCTCGGGCTGCAGGGAGGCTCCCGGAGAAGCAGCGACCCCTGTGAGACCTCAGAGAAGCTGGCCTTTGGCCGGGGCCTCCTCTGAACAACCTGCTCAAAGGAAGAGTGTCTCCCTGGAGAGGGGCCCCCAGCCCCTCAGCTGCGCATGCCAGGGCCCTTGCAAGACCCCAGCCGCGCGTGGCAGGTGCAGCCCCACGTGCAGGGAGAGAGGGTGATCGGGGGTCTCTGGGGGCGCACCCAGGCTGGGGAGACCTGCCCTCCTCGGTGGGAGCCGCGGCCAACCTCCCTGGCAGTGGAAGGCAGGCGGAGGAAGGTACGTGGCCTCTGACGCCCTCTGTCCAGGCCACTCTCGACGTGCAACTTCACCAGGAGGTGCAGGAGGCCTGGCTGGGGCTGCGACATGAACTTCGGAGAGTGTCTGGCACCCAAGCCCCACAGTAAAATTAATATCAGACCCAAGGCAGACTGCGCCCCACACCTTCCAGTTCCAGGAGACACACCCTCTGGAAGCTGACCTCCCGCGCAGTCGAGTAAGAAGCTCGCTGCCCCCAGGCCTGGCGGTCTTCTCCAGGGCTCATGCTCCTCTTTAGAGAACCCTCGCTGGGGGCGCTTGAAAGGCAACCCGCAGCACGCCAGCGCAACCAGAGCAGCCCGCGTCTCAGGAGCGCCCGGGCAGGGGACCAGGTGGGTAGCAGGTGGTCCCCCGAGGCCCAGGTGCAGGGTCCGGCTGTTGGTCCTCAGGCTCTGGGACCAGCAACGCACTGAGAGCATCTGAGCACCACGACCAAGGCAGGAGAGCCCCACGCGGAAGGGAAGCAGGGTCCAGTCCTAGCAACGTAGGCAAGTCGGAAGCACTCACCTGGCACAGGACTGTGGCACGGGGAGGGGCAGCCCAGCAGAGCAGTCCCTGAGACGGGTCACACTCCCAGGACACGGCCTCCAGGCCATGCAGACTCTGCACAAACCTCACACATGGCAGGCAGGTAGTGGGAGGCAGCAGGCGGGGGGCGGGGGGGACACCTGACCTAGAGCAGGCCTGTGCTCCCGTCCCCAGGGTGGGGGTTGGGCTCCCAGGCACCCAGGCACCTCCCAAGGGGGGTGACACGGGCGAAGCAGGAGACCCAGCCCTACACTGCACCCCATCCTGGGAGCTGCGGTCATGCCCCGTGGGTGTGGCTTGGGAGCCCCGAGGCCAGCACAGCCCCCCGGGATGCTCCCACCGACAGTCCTTTCCGCCCCTCCTGCTGTTCACAGGAGGTGAAGGCCCCTGACCTGTCCAGAGCGCCTGCGATACATTCTTGTAGAGTCAAACCTTGGTTTGTGCGCATAATTCATTCTGGACACATGCTTGTAAAGCAAAGCACTTGTATATCAAAGTAAATATCCCCCTAATAGATAATGGAAACTCAGATGATTCGCTCCACAACAGCAAAATATTCATGTAAAAATGATTATGATGCTGTAATATAATGCAAAATAATAAAGAAAATACAAAATATAAAGAAAAATAAACAAATTAACCTGCCTTTCCCTCGAAAACCTTTATGGTGGGCGCCTGGGGGGCTCAGTCGGTTAAGCTTCCGACTTCGGCTCAGGTCATGATCTCACGGTTCGTGGATTCAAGTCCCACATCGGGCTCTGTGCTGACAGCTCAGAACCTGGAGCTGCTTCAGATTCTGTGTCTCCCTCTCTCTCTGCCCCTCTCTCGCTTGCCCTCTGTCTCTATGTCTCAGAAATCAATAAACATTAACAAAGTTAAAAAGAAAGAAAGAAAACCTTTGTGGCTGGTGTGAGAGAGACAAGAGAGGAGGGTTATTGTGTAGGACAACTTTTACCATCGCTAACAGAATCACTATCAATTGGCTTAATGGAACTTTTTTCTTTTTGTGCAAATTTTAACAAGTAACCTATCCAGTGACACTTATTTTTGCCTCCTTTTGAGGATTTCATTCATAAGAGGGAAGTATATAGCCATCCAGACATTCCTAAGGAAGGAAGAAAGGTCTCAGACACACAGCCTACCTAACACCTTAAAGAGCTGGAAAAAGAACAGCAAATAAAACCTCAAACCAACAGAGGACGGAATAAAGATCAGAACAGAAATCAATGTTATCAAAAAGCAAAATAAAACAAAACAAAACACAGTAGAACAGATCAATGAAAACCAGGAACTGGTTCTTTGAAAGAATGAACAAAATTGATAAACCCCGTAGCCAGTATGATTAAAAAGTAAAAGAACCCAAGTAAATAAAATTAAGAATGAAAGAAGAGAGATCACAACCAGCACTGCAGAAATCAAACAATAAGAGACTATTATGAGCAATTATATGCCAATAAATTGGGCAATCTGGAAGAAAGGACAAATTCCTAGAAACATATAAACTACCAAAATGGAAACTAGAATAGAAAATTTGAAAAGACCCAGAACCAGTAAAAAAAAAACATAGAATCAGTAATCAAAAATCTCTCAACAAACAAGAGTCCAGGGCCAGGTGGCTTTCCAGGGAAATTCTACCAAACATTTAAAGAAGAGTTAACATCTATTGTTTTGAAGCTGTTCCAAAAAAATAGAAATGGAAGGAAAACTTCCAAACTGATTCTACGAGGCCAGCAATACCTTGGTTCCAAAATCAGATAAATAAATGACCAGAAAGGAGAATGACAGACCAATCACAATACATTAAAAGAATTATTCACCATGACCAAGTGGGATTTATACCTGGGAAACAGGGTTGGTTCAATATCCACAAATCAATCAATATCAACATTAGTAAAATAAAGGACAAGAACCACATGATCTCTCAATAGATGCAGAGGAAGCATTTTACAAAATACAACATCCTTTCCTGATAAAAACCTTCAAGAAAGTATGGATAGAAGGATCATACCTCAAGATGATAAAAACCATATATGAAAGACCCACTGCTGATATCATCCTCAATGGAGAAAAACGGAGAGCTTTCCCACTAAGGTCAGGAACACGACAGGGATGTCCACTCCCACCACTGTTATTGGAAGTCCTAGCCTCAGTGATCAGACAACACAAAGAAATAAATGGCATCCAAATCGGCCAGGAGAGTCAAACTTTCACTCTTCGCAGACGACATGATACTCTATATGGAAAACCCAAAAGATTCCACCAAAAAACTACTAGGGCTGATCCACGAATTCACCAAAGTCAGAGGATATAAAATCAATGCACAGACATAGGTTGAATTTCCGTACGCCAATAATGAACCTATAGAAAGAGAAATCAAGGAATTGATCCCATTTATAATTGCACTAAAAGCCATAAAACACCTAGGGATAAACCTACCCAAAGAGGTGAAAGATCTATACGCTGAACACTATAGAAAGCTTGTGAAAGAAATTGGAGAAGACATAAAAAAATGGAAAAACATTTCATGTTCATAGATTGGAAAAACAAATATTGTTAAAATGTCGATACTACCCAAAGCAATGTACATATTCAATGAAATCCCTATAAAAATAATGCCAGCATTCTTCACAGAGCTAGAACAAACAATCCCAAAATTTGTATAGAACCAGAAAAGACCCCGAATAGCCAAAGCAATCCTGAAAAAGGAAAACCAAAGCTGGAGGCATCACAATCCCCGACTCCAAGCTGTATTACAAAGCTGTAATCCTCAAGACAGTATGGTCCTGGCACAGAAACAGACACTCAGATCAGTGGAACAGAATTGAGACTCCAGAAATGGACCCACAAATGTACGGCCAATTAATCTGTGACAAAGCAGGGAAGAATATCAGTCTCTTCAGCAAATGGTGTTGGGAAAACTGGACAGCGATGCAGGAGAATGAGCCTGGACCACCTTCTTACACCAGACACAAAAATAACCTCAAAATGGGTGAAAGACCTAAACCTAAGACAGAAGGCATCAAAGTCCTTGATGAGAAAGCAGGCAAAATCCTCTCTGACCTTGGCCGCAGCAACTTCTTACTCAACACATCTCCAAAGGCAAGGGAAACAAAAGCAAAAATGAACTATTGAGACCTCATCAAGATAACAATCTTCTGCGTGGCAAAGGGAAGAATCGGCAAACCAAAAGGCAACCAATGGAATGGGAGAAGATATTTGCAAACGACATATCAGATAAAGGGTTAGTATTCAAAATCTATAAAGAACTTATCAAATTCAACACCCAAAAAACAAATAATCGAGTGAAGAAATGAGCAAAAGAAATGAATAGACACTTCTCCAAAGAGGACATCCAGATGGCCAACCAGCATATGAAAAAAATGCTCACCCTCACTCATCATCAGAGAAATACAAATCAAAGCCACAACGAGGTACCACCTCACACCTGTCAGAATGGCTGACATTAACAACTCAGGCAACGACAGATGTGGGCGAGGATGCGGAGAAAGAGGACCTCTCTAGCGCTGCCGGTGGGAATGCAAACTGGTGCAGCCACTCTGGGAAACAGTGTGGAGGCTCCTCAAAAAATTAAAACTAGAACCACCCTACGACCCAGCAATTGCACTACTAGGTATAGAGCCAAGGGATACAGGAGCGCTGATTCGAAGGGGCGCGTGCACCCAGTGTTGATAGCGGCGCTACAGACAATAGGCAGAGTATGGAAAGAGCCCAAATGTCCACTGACAGACGAGCAGATAAAGAAGGTGCGGCGTGTATACAACGGAGTGCTACTTGGGGACCAAAAAGAATGAGATCTTGCCATTTGCAACGACGGGGATGGAACCAGAGGGTATCATGCGAAGCGAAATCGGTCAGAGAAAGACAAAGATCATGTGACTTCACTCGTGTGGAATTTAAGATATAAAACATGAACATAGGGAAGGGAAGCAAAAATAACATAAAAACAGGGAGGGGGACAAAACATCGTCTTAAACGCAGAGACCCAACGGAGGGCGGGGTGGGGGACGGGGGGCGGGCGGAGCGCTGCGTGTGGCAGCAGGAGACGAGCCTCTGGAATGACTCCTGCAATCATCACCGCACTGTATGCCGACTACCTGGGGTGTAAACTTTAAAAAATAAAATAAAACTTGCTCTGGCAGGTAACACTCGGAAGCCATGAGCTTCTGGAACTCGGGAGCGAGCACCTCAGCTGCCTTAGCCTCCCAGGGCCTCACAACACCGCAGACGCCACTTCTCTTGAGGTGATCAAACCATCCCCCGCCTGCCCCGAAGCCTTCTTTGTTTTCCGTTGACATACGTGGCGGTTTGCTTACGAGCTCGGTGTTCAAGGCCTTGGCCTTCTCGTCTATCCAAGCCAGGAGCGGCTTGTCTCCATCTTCCAGAACACGTTGCTTTGATATTCTCGTGGCTCCTTTTGCTGCATCTAGCCCCCTGATTTCCTCTTTCTTAATACCGTGCAAATAGTCGACGTAGACTTAGAAAATCTTGCGATTTCGGCCACTCACATACCTCGCTCATACTTCTCGATGATTTCCTTAACTTCCACCCTAATCATCTCCTTATTACTGTCTTTCTTTCCAACCTTTTCCGGCCTGGGGGCCACTGTGTACGCTCGCACGGATGTTGACTACAGTACAGTGTAGTTCTGTACTCACTGTTGTGAAAACTCTGATTTCTGCCAAACGCTGCAGCCTGAGACCGAGCACAATGGGCAATGATCACGCAGAATCCCACAGAGAGAGAGAGAGAGAGAGAACCACTGGCTCCGTTGTGAAGTTGCGATCATGTGACGTTCAGCATCACATTCTACTCGTATTGTAAGATGCCGTTCATTTATCAAGTTAAAATTTATTAGAAACGTTTGCTTGTCTTGCGGCGCCCTCGCAGAACAAGTTCGCCGCAACCCAAGGTTTTACTGTACTTGAAGCTTGTTCGGGGATCTGCTTCGGAGGCTCTGAACGAATACACCAAGCCACACCTCGCGTTGGCCTGACCCTGCCTGGCCCTAGAAATGGTCTAAAGGGCAACCCCACCTCCTTCCTGCCTGAGCTCCCAAACTCAAGCTAAGCCCTGCCTGACCCTGCCCAGAAGCCTGGGCCCCGAAGCCGGCTGACCCTTATTCCCGGCTACACACTGCCTTTTCTAGAACCCCAGACGGAGGCTGATGTTGGACCAGGCCAGGTCCTCAGAACTCCATCCTTGGCCTAGACCCAGTCTCCAGACAGATGCCAGACACTTTTATCTTAAACACTTTCCATCGTGGGTAGGCAGGACCCCAGGGGGTCCCCAGTTTGGGGGGACTGCTTGTAGCTCCTCCAAAAGGCTGTGTGAGGCAAGGCCTCTTTGAGGCGGCTTGGTGGGGGGCCTTGAGCGGTAAGAGGTCATTTCAAGGTAGGCATTCTGGGTGGAGGACCCGGAGGGGGCCAGGGCCCACAGAGGCCCAGTCACAACAGAGGGGCTGTTTCTCTGCACCTTCAGCCGTGCTTTCCTCATTCAAGTCCACTCAGGGCACTGGGGAGCGGCTTGGGGGCTCAGTGTAGTGGGGTGACACCCGAACCCACAGCTACCCTCCCAAGCCTGTGGTGTCCTGTGGGGCGGTCAGGAGAACCTTCTGGAGAAAGCTCAGGTGCGATCTGGCAGGCTAGCAGGGGCTAAGGTGTGGGGATGTGGGGACAGGCCAGTGATGGGTGAAGGGTGACAGGCTGCAGGGAGCAGCGTCAGGGCGCGCAGGGGAGCCGGGGCCAGGCTGTGCGCGAGACCCAGGGAGCAGGCAGCCTGCCAGGGCACCAGCTCGAGGGGCTGGGCCAGTTTCAGTGTCCCCCGCCAGACCCCAGCTCGGGAGCCCAGGGGCCATCCACGCTCTGAGGCGCTGGGAGAGCACAGGCCTGGCTTGAATGGGGACAGATGCACCCAAGCTGAGATGGTGCTCAGACAGGACGTGCCACCGCCATCTCAGCTCACATGGCCGTGCACACCAGGAGAGTTAGTGCACACAAGGGAGGAGGGGACTTGCTCACTGCATCTGGTACCGGGCCCAGGGGCCCCCTCGAGAGGAGGCTCTTCTGCAGATCTTCACCCGCCACCCCGACTCCCCCCTCAAGATGAGCCACAGAGCAGTGCAGTGCCTGCATCAGACCCCAGGTACCCTCCAGGCTGGCAGGCTCGGGGTCAGGATCCCAAGCAGCCCCAGCGGCCCACGACGCTCCGGGGCTGGAACGGACTGCTCGTGTAGACTGGTGGGGGCCGGTGGGGACCCACGTGGCGCCAGAAGCCCAGGCGGAGGAGACTTGGGCGGCGCGGCCTTGGCTGTGCGCAGGCCAGCAGCGCCACCTGTTGGGCGGACACCTGAGCCGCGGCGATGACGGCTGGCTCTGGATCATTCTGCAGCTGCCCCAGGTCTGCAGGGATGCGGAGGCTCGAGCAGGCTTGCAGGGCTCTCAAAACCGCTAAATACCCCAGGCCCCGGCCCTCCACTCATCTGTTCCCACGCACTCCATCCTGGCACCCACGGCCTCTGTAGGACCCCGACCTTGGCCCGCCAGCTGGGTCCTTACCCTGGATCAGGGAGTCCAGCAGGTCCTGGTTAACGTGGCCGGGGCTTGTGTGATGGACGAGGAAGCCTGGACCAGGGCAAACCAGTGAGTGCTGGCCCCAGGCCCCATCAGGGAGGGGCCCGGCCAGCTCCCAGAGACAGCGGGACCCCAGTCCTGCCTCACCTAGGAGCACAGCAGCCGCCCAGCGCAAGGGGGCCTGCGGGCTCCGCACGTAGCCCTGGGTCTGGCTCAGGAAGCTGGGTATGTGACTCGGGTACTGCTGAACCTGGGGACAGACGGGCTTATGGCAGTACAGAAGGGCCAATCCCATATGGGTGGAGGTGGCAAAGATGAGCCCAGGGGCTGGGGTCCCCTGGCGACCCCCCAAGCAAGGCATCAGGGCCTGAGGTCTTAGACCTGCCACCACCTTGGCTGGGAGAGCGGGCCTGGTGAACACTGACCAAGCGGGTGCTCCCCTACTGACCAGGCAGCGGCAGATGCGGCTCAGGGCCTCGGGGCTGTCGTAGTGGGCCACCGTGACCATCTCCTCCAGCAGCCCCCAACGCAGGGCGCGGTCACAGCGGGCCAGGGTCCACTCTGAACTCTAGGACAGGGGAAGGGAGCAGGCGTAGGGATCCAGAAAGCAGCACGAGGCGGCTGGGATGCGGCCAGGACGATGGCTGGAGGAGCCCAGAGCAGGTGCTCCCGGGAAGACCAGGAAGCTAGGAGCCCCTGACGCCTGCACCCGAGGTCCTTGTAGAACTCTCTGGAGATGCGCAGGGAGGGGATGGGCAGAGCTGGATGGGGAGGCAGCGGGACAGTCCCGGGGGCAGCTGACCTCGGCGGCGTCCCTGCTGGGGTCCTGCAGGCGCAGCAGCAGCGGCACCAGGCTCCGCAGCACCAGCTTCCGCAGGGGGCCGCGGAGCCCCACCCGGAGCCCGCCCCGGCCCCGCCGCACCAGCGTCCCGAGGAGCCCAACGGCCGAGGCGCGCACCGAGTCCCGGGCCTGCGGGGGAGGGCGCGGTCAGGGCACACGGCGAAGGGCGGGGAGGGGGGCGCGGCCTGGCGGGAGGTCCGGAGGCCTGGGGCGGGGGCGGGGGCGGGGGCGGGGGCCGGGGGCGGGGCGGGGCGGGGCGGGGCTTACGTCGTCCAGCAGCGGCGGGAGGCGCGGCCCCAGCTCGGCGCTCAGCAGCCGCACCGGCGCGCGAGGCCGCAGCAGGAGCCTGCGCAGCGCGCCCAGCGCGGCGTCCACGAGCCGCGCGTCGCCCTCGCCCAGGGCGCCCAGCAGCGCGGGCAGCAGCTTGCTCACGTGCCGCGCCTGCGGGGGCAGGGACTCGTGGGCGGGACCTCGCAGGCCCCGCCCCCCCGCCCGGGCCCGCCCCTCACCTTCCCGCGGCTCAGCGCCAGGTGGCCCAGGCCCAGCAGGCCCAGCCAGCGCACGGTGGGCTCGGGGTCGCCCTGCCAGGCGCGGAGCCGCTCCAGGATGACCTCCTCCCGCAGAAGCCCTGCCGTGGGCCGACTCTGCAGCAGCTGAACGGGGACGCGGGGTCAGCATGCTCCAGGTCCCCAGGCACCGCCCGGAGGCCGGGTCCACGGTCACCCGTCACCGCCCGTGGGGAAGCAGGCTCACCCCGGTGAAGAAGGCCATCGCCGTGAGGCGCCGCGTGTCGTCGGGGCTGCGCAGCCAGGGCAGCAAGTTCCCGAACAGGCCTCGCAGGTGGTGGTCCGCATGGGCCACCATGGCACTGGGAATGGGGCGGAGACGGGCGTGCTCCCTCCTCTGGGCGCCTCACCCTGGGAGGCGCCTCCGCCCGACCCCCTTCCTGCCCCTGTCTCCTCCCCCCACCCCCCTGCCCAGCACCTGGCCAGCAGCAGGACGCCTTCCAGGTGCGTGTGGGCTCCCACCAGCCTCCTCCAGCCGCCAGCCTGCTCCATGCACGTGACCACCATGCGGCCGCCGTCCCCGGTGAGCAAGGCCTTCAGGGCCTCAACGGCGCAGCTGGAGGTGGGGGCAGGCAGCGAGGGCGCGCGGTGAGGGCCGGAGGGCACTGGCCCAGCCATCACTTCGCTCCGGTGTGTGCGCCCTCACCTGGCGTCGCTGTGCGGCGGCCCTCGGTGCGATGGGGCCCAAGCCTTGGGGGTGTCAGGGGAGGACGCACGCCGCGCCAGCTGGTGCAGCTGTGTGACCAGCACGAGCAGGAGGTGTGGGTAGAAGCCCCGAGTGGCGCCCACGCAGCCGGACACAGCCAGCATCTCCCCAAGGGCACGAGTGGCCTGCCGAACAAGCAGCCCGTCTCAGGCTCTCGGGCAGGACAAGCCGCGACGCTGAGGGACATGGCGCAGGCGCCGGGGGCCGGGGCCCGGGGGTGGGGTGGGGGGGAGTCACCTACCGCCAGCGCCTCGGGCCCGGGCGCGCCTCCGCCCTTCAGGGCCCACAGCAGCTGTACCAGCACCTGCCCGTTCACGCGCTGGTTCCGGCTCAGGCTGCGCCACAGCTCAGCGGCCACCCTGGGGGAGCGGAGTGCCCAGACTCGGCCTGGTGCGGGGGCTCCCGGGGGCAGGGTGGGAGGTGGCCACGAGGACTCCGGCATGGGGCGGGGCAGGTCAACAACCCCGCCGCCCGCACTCCACCCGCAAACCCCAGAGAAACAGGACACCCGGCATCTGTGCAGAAACAGCCTGCAACCTTAACCGCCTGCCGGGAGCGCTCGGAGCCCTGTCGGCCAGCACCCCTGAAACAAACCCGGTGGAGGACACGATCGCTGTGGAGAGTGAAACCAGAGAGAACTTCTGGGGCTCCGGGCTTGCTGACCCCCCTTTGGAGCTTACCCCCTGGCTGGGCTCCTGTGTGACTCCCAGGGAGAAGGCCCGCGGGGTGGCGGGGGGGGGGGGGGGGGGGGGGGGGGGGGGGGGGGGGGGGGGATGAGGGCGGGAGTCAGGGAGGGGATTGATGCCGTCTCCACAGCCCGCGCCAGTGGGCGGACTCAGCTGCCGACTGGGAAGGGGGAAGGAAGCCGAGTGGTGCCTCGGGGTGCGGCCCGCCTGGGTCAGGTGGCTTACCGGTCTGGGGGCAGCGAGCTGGGCAGCAACGCACACACGACCTCCCGAGCATGCTCCAGGGCCAGCGCGCTCAGTACCCGGAGGGCCGCCTGCCGGGGCCGCCCCTCAGCCAGGCTGGGCGCCTGTGCCAGCAGCCCGCGCACCAGGGCATACACCTGGCACGGAGGAGCCGGTGTCAGTACCGCGTCACCTTCTGGACCCCCAGGGCAGGTGTGCCCTGCAGGTGGTGTGCTTGACAGTCTGCTCGCTGGGATCCCCCAAGCTGGGAACTCCCTGGCAGGAGCCTTGGGGGCAGAGAGGGGGTGCCAGCTCACCTGCTCCTCCAGCCGCTCCCCCCGCACCTCCAGGGCTGAGGACAGCATGAGGGCTGTTGCCTGGGTCCCCGCACAGCCAGCCTCTTCCAGGCAGGCAGCCGCATACAGTGCCAGGTCCGCCAGGGCCCCCTCCTCCCAGGAACTCTGGGGGTCCTAGGGCGGGGTGGGTGGGATGTACAACGTCCCCTACCTCTCCCAATTCTCTTCCCCAGCACCTCCCCCAGCCTCCTCCCTGTGGCACCCTCGGCCCTGCTTCCCTTACCACTCACCTGGTAGAGCCCCTTGCGGGCTGGCTCTTGCACCCTGGGCAGGGAGCAGGGCGCGGGGCTGGCTGTGGGGACGGCAGTGGCACTCATAGGCTCTGCCTGTGGTTCAAACTCGGGTTCCGGCTGCGGGTCAGTGGAAGAGGGTCCTGGGGGCTGCCCTTGGTTGGCCTGGAGCCCTTCAGCCAGAGCTGTCAGGGTTAGAGCCCCCACAGGGGCCCCCCGGGCCCTGCCCCATACCCCCCAAGCCATGGCTGCCGCACACCCCAAGCTACTCAGCTTGACCCAGCCTGTGGCACCTGCCACTGGTTCTCCCGGGAAGTCATGCCCAGGCCTGACCTAGAAGTTGGCCCTGGGCAGGCAGGACCAGAGACGGGCGTGGTGGCGCATGCGTGTGAGTTCATGCTCTATGCGTGTGGGGGTTGGGGAGCCGCGCAGAGGCGTCCCCGAGTGTGGCGCACAGCGGGGGCTTGTGAAGGGCCCTCCTGCTCTTGCTGCTGGTGCCGAGCAGCCAGCCTGATGCCTGAGTGTCTAGGGTCTGGCTCTGCCCACCAGGGCGCTGGGGAAGGGATAAGAGCCCTGGCATGGTGGATCTGCAAGGGGAGGGGGAGAAGGCCCCTTCACCCCTGACCCTCAACCCCTCTGGTCAGGGAGACCCCGCAGAAGTGTGCCCAGCCCTGAGGAGGCCCCAGCAGCGGCCAGGGGCCAGAAGTCTGGGCCCAACCCTGAGCTAAAGCCTCTCCTGATTCAGCCCTAAAGAAGCAGATGCGTCCAGGCAGGGCCTGGGGTCAGGGGCTGGGTTGTCCCCATTGCATTCTGACCCAGCCAGACATCTGGGGGATGAGGATGGTTGGGAGAGCCACCACCACCTCCCAGCTCAGGCAGCTCCGGGGTGGAGCAGAGGCTGCCTCCCAGGTACGCTCGCCACTGACTGCCATGGGTGGGGTGGGCCCTCTGGGTCCCGGCGCCTAGGAAGCACGCATCTGAGAAGTGGTGACCCGTGGGTACCTGGGGCTGCGGTCTTCTGCCGTGTGGGTGTTCATGAGTCCTTCTCCCTCCAAGCCCCATGCTCCCCAGGGCCTCTGCCCCACATCCTGTCATCCTCACCCCGTGAACAGGGCACTGCCCTAAGCTTAGGGATCCAGAAGAGCCAGTCTGGTCAGATACCTGGAGAGGCGGAAGTATTCTAGGAAGCGCCCCCAGGAAGCCCGCATCCCTCCGCACGCCCTGGCCTGCCTTTGCCATCTTGTGCTGCTGGATGGGAGGCACCTGGTACCCCCGCCCCACAGTCCCCAGAGCCTAGAATGTCTCCCAAGTTGCCAAAGCTGGCAGAAGGCTGACCCACTCACTTTGTGTGCATGGGGCAGGGCCTGCCCAGCACCCTGCATCTCTTCACGGGCTCTAATGTACGCCCGTGAGCCCTCTCTTTGCTAGGCTGCTGCGCCAGGAGCTGGCTCCCCCAGGGCCCAGGCCCTGTGACCCTATGACAGACGCCGGGGCCTGGAGAAGGCCAGCTGGGTGGCGCCCGTGAGCCCGGCATCCCCAGCCGCAGAGTCCTGGCGGGCGGCAGCAGCAGGGCCCCGGGACACCTGCGCTCCTCTGGCTTCGGAAGCTGGGGGTGCCCCACTGACCTCTCTGGGGCAGGGCCCCTGGTTGGCAGGGAGTCTGGGGCCCTGCCTGGGTACCCTCTCTCTGGCACCCATCCCTACCCCGTGGCTTCCCCTCCCCAGTTCCCTGCAATAACTCCACCAACTCCTGGGTGGGCAACAAAGCCTTCCTTTCCCCATAGCCCTGTCCCCTCCAGCTTCAGATGTGCCCCCCACAGGCCAGCTTCCGGAGCTCTGGACACTCCCCAGCCTTGGCCTAGCTCTTTGCCACCTTCAGACCTCAGCACAGCAGCGTCCCCACCCTGGCAGAGCCTGGGCGCCCCCTGGGGGCATGAAGCCCTGCTCTGACCCCAGACTCCAGCCCACCCTTGGAGGTCCTGGGGGTCAAAGGAGCGGCAGGTTGGGTGAAGAAATGACGCAGGACAAGTGTGGGACAGTGAGCAGTCATGTTGGCTGCAGGCAGTCCCCACCCTGTTCTCACGAGGACCCTCCTGCACTCAGTCGGGCCACCAGGGCCCGTAGCTCATCAGACAATGCAACCTATAGGAAAAAGAGAGAATGACAGGTGGCCGTAGGGACAGGGCACACAGGGCAGGTGACAACGAGGGGCCATCCACCTACCTGGTAGAGAGCAGGCTGTTCCAGCCGCTTGTGCTCAGGGTTCAGGCGGCCCAGGGACAGCTGGGCGAAGGCTCTGGATTCGGCCAGAGATGGGAGAGGCTCACACAGCTAGGGGAAGAGGGAAGGAAGGGGCCGGGTCAGGGGCCGGGCCCAGTTCCGGGGTGGCGTGTGGACTGAGGAAGTCGGTGGAGGCACTTACCCGTCCCTGCTGGATGCAGAGTCTGAGCAGGGGCTCCACGCGGGCAGGCCTCACAACACAGGCTTCCTGGGCCCCTTGAGGCCAGACCCGCAGCTCCTGGCCGGGCTGGGGCGGTGGCTCCTCCGCCAACTGCAGCACATCCATCAGCGGGGACCCTGTGCGCGGGAGGAATAAAGTGGGGGCCCCGGGGACTTGGGGGGGAGGGCCGTGGGGCGGAGAGGGGCCTCACCATCGGGGCCCAGGAGTCGGAAGGCAGCCTTGCTCCCAGGCAGCGTCTGCTTCTCGGGGTCCTCGGTCAGCTTCATTCGGGGCTGGCCTCCCACAGACACCAGCTGCGGAGACCAGTGTCGCGACCGTGGGAATCTCCCCCAACCCGCGAACCCTCTGGCCCGCCCCACCACGCCCCAGACCCTGCCTCAACCTTATAGACGCAGCCCAGGGAAGGCTGGCGGGGGCAGGTGACGACGGTCGTTCCGATGCCAATGACATTCACCTCGCTGCCCTGGAGGAGGAGGGGCAAGGTGGCACTGAGCTTGGTCGACATCTGCAGGCCCAGAGCCCTCCTAACCACCCTCTGGCCGGCCCCAGCCCTCCACTACCCCCGCCCTACCCCCCACTACCCCCGTCCCTACCCCCCACTGCCCCCGCCCCCGTCCCCCACTGCCTGCCACCTCCTGTGACAGCCGGGCCAGCTCTTCCTCATCAATGTTGTTGCTGACGGCAATGGGGACGGATTCCAACCAGGGCATCTGGAACCTGCGATGGGTGGACAGACCTCAGATGCTCCTGCCTCGCCTGGTCACTCTCCCTCCTCAGTTACGTACCCCTCCCCGCCTGAGAATTCGGCCTCGGCCACACGGGCTCTGGCCTTTTGCTTATGAACAAAGCCCCCCAGGCCTACCCCCCAGACCTCCGGCCCAGGGCTGCGATGTCTCCGCTGTGGTAGCAGCCAGATGAGAGCTCCTCACTTTGGGAGGAGCACATCCCTCCCTCCCTCTGCCCCATCCCAACACCCCTGCCCCCAACAGCATCTCTCAGCAGGCACAGCCCCTCCCAGGGGACTCACTGGGCGGCAGAGGTCCTGAAGACCCTGCGGATGTCCTGGGCTTGCTGCAGCAAGTCACCACTGTCCAGTCGTACGCCCACGGCTCGGTAGCCCAGTTCCCCCAAGGCCAAGGCTACTGCCAGGAAGTTAGGAAGACCGCTCCTGCCGCCAGGATAGGAAGGGTTGTTGGACAAGAAAGGTAGGTGCTGGGCAGAGCCCACCCAGGGGGGTGCCTGGGCCTCACCTCTGCACACTGTAGGTGTCCAGCAGGCCCTGGAAAGCCCGGGGGAAAGCCAGGGCATAGGCCACAAAGGCTGCCCGCTCCCCCTGGTGGGGCTCCTGCACCCCCAGCCCCAGGTGGGCACACACGCGCTCCAGCCATGCCTCCACACAAGCAGCCAGGTCCACCCTGGGGCCCGGACTGGCAGCTGGAGCCAACATCTACGGAAACGGGGTGGCGAAGGACGGGCAGGGTGAGGACTGGTTCACCCCGACTGCGGGTCTGAGCAGGGGCAAGGCTGCCATCCGCCGGCTTCCCAGCGCAGCACTGCGCGACCTGCCAGCGCGGCTCAGCGGCCCCCCCCTTCCCCGGGCAGGGCAAGGACTGGCTTTGGGGACTGCTCTCTGGAGGCCGCAGGGGTTGGGGCGGGGGGGATGCTGACCGGATCAGGGGGCACCTCAGCGCCCGAAAAGGAAGTGACGAAAGAGTGAGCCAAGGTGCCGGCCAGGGGCACGCCCCGCAGCTGCCCCGCCAGCACGTTGCTGCTGCCGTCAAAGCCTGCGGGGGGGGGGGGGTGAGGGCTCAGGCGGGCGTCGGACGTGGCTGGAGGGCGTCAGGCGGGCCCCGTCCTTCCCTAACGCCCCCTCCGCGGGCCCTTACCGCCCAGGTAGCTGTAGGCGGAGGCCGTCAGGCCCCCGTCAGGGCCCTGAGCTCGCCGCAGCCCCATCTCCAACAGCCGCCTCTTCGGACCCGCGATCAGGCGAAGCCGCGCAGCGTTGGTGGCGACGAGGCTGTCGGGGGCGAGGGAGCAGGGCACCCGCGGTGAGGGTCCTGAGGTCACCGCGGGCCCGGTCCTCTCCAGGCGCCGCACGCAGCACTGGGCCCCCGCCCCCGGAGCCACGCCCCTTCACGGAGGCCCGCCCCCGGAAGTCCCCGCCCTGAGTCCCGGGGCCCCGCGTCCCCCCGTCTCCGCCGGCCGGCGGGGCCCCACCTGGCGTAGCTGACGAGGCAGAGGAGTGGCGTCTCGAGCAGCTGCACCACCAGGAGCGGCCCCGACACCTGCAGCAACGGCACCTGCGGGGGGGCGGTCAGCCGGGCGCCCCCGCCGCTCGGGCCCGCGCCCCCCGCCCCCGCTCACCCTGCACTCACGCTGGGGAAGGCGAGGGAGCCCTCGGGCAGGGCCCGCACCGTCACACCGGAGCAGTCGAGGGTACGAAGGTGCTCGAAGAACGCGGGGTCCGTGTCGGAGGGCAGCACCGAGGCCAGAAACTGCACGTCTGGGGGTGACAGACGCCCTCGTGGGCTGGAGCCGGCGCAGGCCGGGGGTGCTCTAGGGGCTGGGACCGCGCTAAGGAAAGGGGCCTGTAGGGGGTCGTGAGGGGCTTGTTGGGCCATGAGGGGCTCTCGTCAGGCGGGAGTCTTGTCCGGGGCTCGTCAGACCTGGGGGAACTGGTCTAGGTAAGTGGCAGGTAGCCTGGACGGTTCGGGGACTCGCCGGGCCGGGGTACGGGTGGTTGTCCTGATGGGGTCCTGGGGGCTCGCCGGGCCCGAGGTGGGGAT